GCCAGTTTCTAACAAGATTTAATTATACACTTACAATTAGAGAACTAAATTTCTGAAGAGATTATTTGTAGTAGAAAAAGAATACTTGTAGCTATGAGCAGAAAATGTGTTCTTAGAAAAATCTGAGAAATATACAAATAGACTGGCAAAAAACTTTAGATGATCTTGTGTCGTTCACCATGTTCGTATCATGTCGATACAAAAGACCCGAGCTGGCAGTCAGACCAATGGAAACCACTAATTGCTGAAAAACAGCTTATATCGTGGATCGTTAATACACCAAGCGAGGATCAAGTGATGCGTGCCAGAAAAATCACGTAATAACCAATTTCCACAATTTTATTTAACGACTTGTTCTAGGGCATCACAGGCAAATCGACTTGAAGAGGTATGGAAAGAGATGCCAGAAGCGACTCTTGATGATTTGGATAGACCAGGAATTGATTCCGAACCGGAGCCAGTTCGTTTGCGGTATTTAATTTTAACCTAATGGAAATGTATTTATTGTTTTTTTTAGTTATGATGACGCTTACCAGTATAATTCGATTTTCCATCCATTGGTTCACATTGAAGGTGAATATGACAAGAAGATGAAAGCTTCGCAGACGCAAGCCGTTGGACAAGTTCGCTGGGTTCCTGGATTGAGAAAACAGTATACGGCGTACTTCCACATGCCAAAATTGATGGATGGAAGCATGAAGTTGATGAAGCAGGATTTGTTGCGTTTGAAGCATACCCAGACACTAAACGGCTCCGAATGGTCTTGTGAAGGAGTTGTTATCAAATTGCCTGATAGTAATAGCTTGGATTCAAGGATTAATGCATAACATTTGCGTTAAGGTACTTCCGATGAAATCGGAATGGAGGTCAAGAAAGGACACATTGACAAAAGCATCACAGAAACAAGAATTATGTTTACTTGCGAGGTAATTTTTTTCCAATCGGCTATTCGATGACGAAAATTTATACTCACAAAATCATTGCTGCTTTTCGAAATTGTAATTTTTCGCGGTAAATGAAACGCACCAAAACCTCTCTTAAAAAAGAAATTGTAATGCACCAAAACCTCTCTTAAATTGCTTGGCATTTTTTAGCCGATTTTCAACAATCGCACGACGTTGACAAAAAGTCAAAATGAAAATATTTAGGTTGTATGGAATTCGACGACATTCGAGCGTCAATATCGGGCTCTTGATAGACTTGTTAAGGATGAGAGCAGTGTTTCAAAGTTTATTTACCAAAAGATTATGGGCCGAGATGTTGATGAAGTTGTCTTCAAAGTAATAATTAAAACTTAAATTTCCGTCTATAATTTCGCGTTTCAGGTTCCAACGCCGCGTCGCCTAACTGCTCCGGGTCTTCCAGATTTGAATCCTAGTCAGATGATAGCTATCCGATCATCACTTTCTCGACCTTTAAGTTTGATTCAAGGACCACCGGGAACTGGAAAGGTAAAATTATTCGCACGTATGCGTCAGCAAGAGCCATGTTTTAGACAGTGACCTCAGCCACCGTAGTTTACCATTTAGTTGCTCAAACACAAGGACAAGTCTTGGTTTGTGCCCCTTCGAATATTGCTGTCGACCATCTTGCTGAGAAAATTCACAAGACGGGTCTTAAGGTACAGTTACTTTTGCACAAAAATACATATATTATGGTATTATTAAAGGTCGTGAGATTAACTGCTCAATCCAGAGAGGACTCAGAATCTACAATTGAGTTCTTGACATTGAGAGCTCAACTCAAAACTCTGGGCAATAAGGAGTTGAACAATTTGATTCAATTGAAAGAGGAAATCGGAGAATTGTCAGACGCTGATCATTTGCGTTTCGTGAGTCTCAAGAGAGTAAGCGAGCATCGTATTCTCGCTGAAGCTGATGTTATCTGCTGCACTTGTTCTACATCGGCGGATCCTCGTCTCGATCAAATTCGCATCAAAACTGTCCTTATTGATGAGTCTACTCAAGCTACAGAACCGGAGGTTCTTGTCCCAATTGTCCGTGGAATTCGGCAGCTCATTCTTGTCGGCGATCATTGTCAACTCGGACCGGTTGTGATGTGCAAAAAAGCGGCTAACGCTGGACTTCAGCAATCGCTTTTTGAACGTCTGGTTCTTCTTGGAAATCGCCCGCATCGTCTTCAGGTATTTATTTAAATGATTATAAATTAATAAAACTTTGAACATTTAAGGTGCAATACCGTATGCATCCAGTGCTTTCAAACTTCCCGAGCAATGTGTTTTACGAAGGAAGTCTTCAGAATGGAGTCACTGAAAGTAAATTTTACCACATTTTTTCTGATTTTTGAAAATATCTATGACGTGGCAAAATTACATATTATGTTTAGACGAACGGCAAATGACTCAGTTCGATTGGCAGTGGCCAGTTCCGAACATGCCAACCATGTTCTGGTCCTGCTATGGTGTCGAGGAGATGAGCGCATCAGGAACATCATTCTTGAATCGTACCGAGGCGGCTAATGTTGAGAAGTTGGCTTGCAAATTGATCAAGTACGACGCACTGAATCCAAGGATTTCAATTTGATTCATTTTAGAGGGGGAATGAGCCCAGAGCAAATTGGTGTAATTACTCCTTACGAAGGACAACGGATGTTCATTGTTAACTATATGCACACACAGGGAACTCTCAACGCGAAACTTTACGAGAATATGGAAATTGCTAGTGTTGACGCGTTCCAAGGACGTGAAAAGGATTTTATCATTGTGACTTGTGTTCGTTCAAACGAATCATCTGGAATTGGTTTTCTCAATGATCCACGTCGTTTGAACGTGGCTATTACTCGGGCTAAATATGGTCTTATCATTATTGGAAATGCCAAGGTGTTGTAGAAATTCGAGTTGTGTTTATTTACAATTAATTTCAGGTTTTGGCCCGCCAACCACTTTGGCATGATCTTCTCACGACTTATAAAGATCGAGGACTTGTCTTTGAAGGTCCAATTAACAATTTGAAGGCGGTTAACATTGTTCTCCCGAAGCCTACCGCTAAAATTGCAGGCTCTGCTTTTGCTGTGAGTTCCGTTTGAATTTCCGTAAGTGAGGTTTGATATCTAGGCCGTCAAATATGGAATTCAACGGAAGCAGTACACATATAATGAATATCGTGGACAAAATCAAAGCAGAGGCTACACTGAACCGCAGAATATGATCTCGTATCAATCGCAGACATTCCGCAATGCGACTGCAAACATTCCGGTGCCTCTCAGCTTGATAAATCCATCGATGTATCAAAAGAACGGGAACGCAAAGAATTCGAAGAAGCAGCAAAATCGGGGATATTCGGATGCGTCTCAGAACTTCTTTTCCCAGGCATCTCAAGGTCAAATGATGGCCCCAATGCCATCTGGAGCATATGAAGGATCTCTGTCGGGATGGTCGCAGTCCCAATCGCAAGCAGCAAGCTCATCGCGTTTTGGAGCTTACACGCAGCCAATGTCGCAAGACACGAACGGCTTGGATCAGAGTATGGCGAATTTGCTGCTTTCGCAAGATCATTAACTCAACTGTTTCGAAAAAAAATGATTTGTTGGAATATGATGGGAATTGAAGGCGCAGGAGGAATGATGTGTGGGTTTGAGATCACTGAGCATTCGGATGCGTCCCGCAATGGATGATTTGAGGAATTTTGGAAAGTAGGCATTTTCCATATCTTTATAATATTTGAAATATTAAAAAATAACATTGACATTTTAAAAATGGCATGTTAAAAAAAATTAGCTTTTTTTTATTTGATGTTTTGTCGAAATTCATACAAGTTTTTGCCGATTTTCGGACCATTTCGTCTTGCAGCGCAAATCTGGCGTATTAGGTGTCTCAGATGATCTCAAAATGAATTGTTTGGTTGTTCATGATGCGTTCTTTTCTCCACTTTTTCTTCATTTCGGTTCAATTTCTGTTTCTTCTTGGAGGTCGTCTATCCCGATTATCTTGCCTCCTTGTATTGGTTGTTGCCCTATAATTTTTCTTTTTCCACATATTATATTTTTCTGTTAGTTGTTAAGTGTATAACCGCCAACATATTTTGTGTTCATTTGGCTAATAATGGTAGTAATAAAAATAGTACAAAATAGAATTCATAGCCGTAAAATTGTGGTGGTCAGCACCTTTATTATTATCTTGAATCTTGTATTTTTGTTGATGTGTTTATGTTATTTCTTATATAGGGTTAAACAATGGTGCGCAGCAGCCGTAGACGTAATTTTAACAATAAGAAGCCGAGAGAGACGAGAACCTGGGATGATTCGAATCGTGGAAGCTATCGGGACGTTGTGAAGGAAAATGAGAAGTATTGGACATATTATAAAGAGCAAAATGTGTTTCCGATTGATCAATTCGAAGAGTTCAAAGCCGCTCTTCAACGAGATCTTCCGGTTTCATTCAGATTCCAGGGATGTCATAAGTGAGTATGGAAGAAAGAGCTCTAGCCAGAGTAGAAATATTCCAAAATTCATTAAATTATGAAATCAAAATAAAATTAAAGGGATCGCGAGCAATTGATGCACGAAATGGAGGGTCGGTTCTTTGGCAAAATCGGCGAGTCGGACGACACTGCGGTGTGTGTTCCGAAGGCATTGGATTGGTACAAAGAAGCATATCAAACTCCGATGTCTCGTACAGCTGTCAGAAGCCATCCGATCCTTGCGCAGCTTCACAACTTTCTCGTGACTGAAGCCGAACTGGGAAATTTGTCGCGTCAAGAGGCTGTCAGTATGATTCCGCCTCTCCTACTTTCGCCTACAAGCGAGCATACGGTACTGGACTTGTGTGCTGCGCCTGGAAGCAAAACGACGCAACTTCTCGAGATGTTGCATGAAAATGATCCAAATCCAAGTGAAACTGTTGAATTCAAATTAAATATTTTAAATTAATTCAATTTGAAGAAGGAATGGTTATTGCTAACGATGTCGATATGAAGCGGTGCTACATGCTGATTCATCATACATTGAAAAGATTCAGAACTGCTGCTTGTGCTATCACTTGTGAAGATGCCGCCAGATTTCCAGATGTAATCGATGAGGTTCGATTATTATGTTTTGTTTTATTCGCCAAATTTGAATATAGACTGGTGAAGTAATGCGATTCGATCGTGTTCTTGCTGACGTCATCTGTAGCGGTGACGGAACTCTTCGCAAGAATCCCGAAATTTGGAAGAAATGGACTCCGCAAGATGCTCTGGGCCTTCATCGAATGCAAATCGCAATCGCTCGCAAAGGAGCCCAACAGCTGAAAATTGGCGGTAGAATGGTGTATTCGACATGCTCGATGAATCCGATTGAGGATGAGGCGGTCGTAGCGCAGCTGTTGCGTGAAGCCAAGGGTGCGTTGAAACTCGTCGACACCACCCAATTGTTGCCGGGATTGAAACGAGAAAAAGGTGTTACTGAATGGAAAGTGTACGATCGAGACATGAGGCTATTCACAAGTGTTGCCGATGTGGAGGAAGAGAAAATGAAGAAGGTCATTGTGCAATCACTATTCCCCCCGACTGCTGAAGAAGCTAAAGAGATGAACCTTCATTTCACGTACATTTTATGATTTGCTCTCCTGTATTAATTGATTAGTTTCAGAATGCGAATCACACCACATCTTCAAGATACTGGAGGATTCTTTGTCGCTCTTTTCGAAAAAGTCAAGGAAACGGAATTCGATGGAAATGCTGCCAAGTAATATCGAATTGTCACATAGTTGTTGTCTTTTATTTTATTTTTAGTGGTCCTGCTTGGAAAAAGAAGAAAATGTTCAAGGACGAACCATTTTCGTTTTTAAAGAAAGATGATGAGAGATGGAATGATATCAAGTATTTGCCCACAGTTTTTTTGGTATCATGTATGTATATTGCTATTTGTAGATCATTCTATGGAGTTGACCAATCGTTCAATTATGAAAATTTGTTCAGTCGGCGTTTGGAAACGAATGATGCTGATAGTAGGCAATTGTTCTTTGCGAATGATGCTGTTAAAAGTTTTGTGGTATTTAATGGAAATTTGAGTTTTTTTTTTTTTCAATTATTACATTTTAGAAAAACAACATGAATAAAATATCAGTTCAAAACGCTGGAATGAAGATTTTCAGTCGAACTGAGGGAAAAGTTGAAAGCACTCGATTTCGACTTTCCCAAGAAGGAATTCGATATCTTTTCAAGTTTATGAATAAGCAAAAGGTGAAAATTTCGAAGGAAGATATGCTGTATATCCTGAAATCTGATGAGAAATTGGTGCCGACGGAGAAGTTGGCGTGTAAAGATGACATCAGGAAACAGCAAAATGGCACAGTTGTCGTGTATTGCGAAGAAGATGAGCCAGTATGTACATGGGTAAGTAAAAATCTTTGGAATATTTCGAAATATGTTAACACACACGTGATATTTGAAATAACCGATAACAAATTGCCGTAAAAATTCAGGTTGGATATCACACTGTCGCGCCATATGTTAGCAAAGAAGAACGACTACATTTGTTGAGAATGATGGGTGTTGACTGTGCCGAAATTGAGCAATTGATGAAGAGCAAACGAAAAGATAAAGCTGCTCAAGATCGCGAAGCAGCATGGGCGGCACAAGAATCGGCGAAATTGGAAGGGAAAACTGAAGAAGGTTCGGGAACGTCTGGAGCGGTGGAAACGGAGAATTGAGTTTCTCTCTAATTTTTTGACATGTTGTTTGTTGTTGAATTCTATTTCGTTTTGTTTTTTTTTCTTGTTGATTTTGCTCACTTGTCTCTTTTTTTTTTTGATCATTAAATAATTGACAATTTATTCCAACGAATTGTCTGGCACTATTGTTTTTGACAATTATGGAATATTTTCGAGTACTTGATGTAATTAAGTAGCAATTAAACCACTTAGATGCGCTCCGAATTATTAGGATGCGGTCAAGCGGTTGAAGGGCAACTGGGTGTTCGATTGCCGGAACCGACACTTTCGGTACCCGAGCAGATCAGTAGGTTTTTTTTTTGAAGGAAATTACATCGACTAGATACAACACATTGATTTGATGCGAATTTCGCAATACACAGGCAAACATGATTTATTTGATCAGGAAAAAAAATTGAAATTTGACGATAGGATTGAAGTTTTTCGAAAAATTAACTTCAACTTATTCGCGCTTATCTCGCGGAAAGATAATTTTCAAAATTCATCCGTTAATGGAATTTCGTTGAAATTTTGCGTCTCGTTGATTTTTCGCTGAATATAAAAAATTGATGGTCATAAAATCCGCATGAACGTAATAAAACTTAATGGATCTTCTCTATCGAGAAAACAATCAATATAATTATCATTAAATCGTTCAAGTGACATGATTTCGAGTCAAAATTGATTTTAATAAGCATTAAATGACGAGCATTAGCGAATTTAGATGATTTGTGAGAATGATTGATTGGTTATAGTTGGAGCTCCAAGCGATGCAACGGGAACCCTCGTCAAATCGGTTGCATGCGGAGAAAATCACACACTGTTTCTTACCGAAAATGGCAAAATGTGGAGTGTTGGCGGGAATCAGGACGGGCAGGTCCGAATTCTTGATAACTATTGATTGGAGAATTGGAGAATTTTAGTTGGGACGAGGCAACCACAACGAAGGCTCGTTCTCGATTTTTCCGGTGTCGTGCTCGAGTGGAGTTTCGTATATTCAAATTGCCGCCGGAAGAGCGCATAGTTTGGCGTTGGCCGAAGATGGAAGAGTGTTCGCGTGGGGAAGCAACGAACACGGACAACTTGCGCTTCCTAGCAATACCCAACGACAGGAAGTGCCCAAGTGGGAAATTCTAGAGAACTTTGTGAAATTGTTTCGTAATTTAGGCGGATTCAAGTTCTCAGCGAAGTAGTGCAGATCGCATGCGGATCCGACAGTTGTGTGGCGTTGACGGAAGGTTTTGACGGTTGAAGATGCTGAACTCTATGGTATAGATTTCAGGCGGACACGTCTACGTCTGGGGCGAGCAGGCAGATGGCCGATGCTTGCACGAGCCAACTGAAATTGAGGAGCTCTATGGAATTCCGATTGTTAGAAGTGAGCATATTGAAAAATGTGAGGTGAATCGTAGAATCGATTTTTAGTTCTTTCTGGTAGCCGACACTGTCTGGCAATATCGGCTAGCGGCGCAGTTTTCGGTTGGGGACAAAATGATCACGGACAATTGGGACATGACGATCTAACGCGTATGATTTTCAACATGTTCATTATCAAAACCAAAAATTGTCATTTTTAGCGCAGAAAAAAATTCGACAAATCAATCAGATGGACGGTATGAAGGTTGTCGAAGGTGCCTGTGGCGATCGACATAGCGTTTTGTTGACGAATTGCGGTAGAGTCTTCACATTCGGATCGGATTCATTAGGACAATGTGGATTTGATAAAAAGTTTGAAGTTTTCAAATGTTCCACTGTAGAATACTTTGTCGCTTAAAGAATCGAAAAACGAACATCTCCAACCGCTGTCACTGAGCTAATAGGAAGTACAGTTACTCGTATAGCTGCTGGCAGATGCCACACGATCACTGTGATTGGTGGCTATGTGTATGCATTCGGCCTCAACTCAAGTGGACAACTCGGCAATGGCGGATTGAGAACCATGACGATACCACGTAAAAATGATATGATGGATCATGTATCTAATGTATTCGCTGGATGGGATCAAACATTCTTCTTGAGATCGAGCGATGCGGTAATTTTGTCGATTTTGAAAGAAAAAATGATGATTTAATTTTTTTTAGAAAAACCAAACTGTTGGCCCAAATTCGGCTATTAAACGACCGTTGGGCTTAAATAGAAAAATATTGGAGGAGCGTCTCAAAACCGGTGATAAACTACAAGTCATTGAGTGAGTGCGAATTTCAAAAATTTATTTTATGTCGACGCCATCGTTTAGATTGATCGAATCGGTGTTTTCCTCGGTGAGCTGCCTGAACAATTCGTTTTTGTTCCAAGATGATCGAGTTTTTGACGCTGGACGCGATTCAACGGTTGGTATTGATTTTGATGAGGCAATGGAGGCTTTGCAACTATTTTCTGGATGTGCCTCAGCGAAACAATATTGCGAATTGGTATGCAATCGAAAACTAAAGAATTTCGATAATATTGACTATTATCAGATGATCGAAATGTTGTCGATGTCTCTATTCACTCATCGGCAAGATTTCGCGTCGATTGAAGCTCTTCGTGTATATATTCTTGCTCCTTGGTTCCCGTGTTTTACTGAGTTTGTCACTTATGAAGTCTCCACTAATTTGCACGAAGGATTTGCGAGATCGATTAATTCGCTCAACGGCGGCTGCAAAAATCTACTAGGTTTGTTGTTTCAGAATTTGAGATTGAATTCAATCAAAATAAATGGGCATATTCGTTCAATAAAAAACATATACAATTTCCCAATGCAGGGTATAAAATAATGCACATTCAATGTAATTTTTTACATTTTTTTGAAAAAAATATACAATTAATGAATAGGTTCATAATTTAAAGTGGCCAAAAATTAAAAAGGAGGTCTCAAGGCGCGGTGTGCGCCTTTAACCTATCCTTATTTTTTTTTGCCGCCTATTATCAATTTTTGATTTATGAATATTTCAGTCAATTTATATGCAAGACTACCTGTCCGATATTTTCGACGGACCATTAATGTGCTCAAGATTGGTGTTCGCGAATATGTGAAAAGAAATAAGGGACCCGCTGAATGCGAAATGATTCTCACTGTTCTTTCATTTTTAAATCAAATCAATTCGGTAGGAAAACAGAAATGCGATTAATCGCTGGTGACTCAAAACCAATCGGATCCGTCAAAATTCGGCTTCGCAATCAACTCGACTGGATATTCTTCGGTTGGTTATTGTTCGAATCCGATTTGTTTTTCATTTGACGGATCCGATTGAATTTGATTTGCCAGAGATATGAGAATAAATGATTATTTAATTCAGGAGAAGCACATTGTGCCAACAGAAACATTTTATCTTGACGAACTCAATTCTGCATTCGATTTGAAATTAGATTACTATAGTAAGGTTGTGGATCTTACCAGGGTATGCATCCTCCTAAAGTAATGAGAATTATATGGTGAAAATTTAAGAATGGCAATAACTCGAAAAACTTCTGGTCTTCCTATCCATTTTTGTTGAATGCATTAGCAAAAGTCGATCTTCTACACGCTGAAGCTGTTATTATGCGATCGGTGTGTTACGAAACTTAAAATTTAATACGGAACTTAATATGCTTCAGATTCGTGTCGGAAATACCCAGGTTCAAATACCATTTTTCGGAACTGCTTATATCGAAGTACCGTTTCTCGAAATACATGTTCGACGAGAATTCATTGTATCCGACACAATGAACAAACTCGCTGAAATCGATCCATCCGATCTTTTGAAGCCTCTAAAAGTTCGTTCGTTTTTCTCATCTATTTCGACAATTTTCAATGAGCCCAGGTGAAAATCCAAGGCGAAGAAGCCGACGATGCTGGTGGTGTTCGAAAGGAATTCTTTATGATTGTTATGCAAAAGATACTCCAACCCGACTATGGAATGTTCGTTGAGGACCCCAACTCGCATCTCGTTTGGTTCAGTGGCCTTTCGAATGATTTTTGTGGAGTCGAACAATTCAAGCATTTCGGTCGACTTGTCGGCCTTGCAGTTTATAATCAAGTCATCTTCTCATTCCCGTTCCCTTTGGCGCTCTATAAGGTAATTGTCATTAATCACCGCACCATGATTGATGTTTTGTAGCTTCTCCTTGATGAACACCCGAATTTGGAGGACTTGTGTGATTTGTCACCAATTGAGGGCAAGAGCCTTCAAAGTCTTCTGGATTATGAAGGAGATGATTTTGAGGATGTTTTCTGTCTGGATTTTACAATCACCTATGATTTGGTTGGAGAAAAGATTGTTGAAGAGCTTGTTCCGAATGGAAAACAAAAGATGGTCAATCTTGAAAATAGAAAGCACTATGTTGAGGTGTGTTCGCTTGAAGAAAACACTCAAGATTTTGAGAATAATTTTCAAGCATAAGCTCGATCTAATTTCAGTTGTACGTGAAACACCGTCTCGAGATTGGTGTGAAGAATCAGATCGAGGATCAAGTGAAATCGTTTGTCGCCGGATTTCATGATGCCCTGCACAGTCGTATTCTATCGTTGTTCAAGCCGCGCGAACTCATGGAAATGATTGTTGGCAACGAGAACTATGATTGGAGCCAGTTCCGCGAGGTACGTCATATGTGTATTTTTCGTTGCGTTGCGAGTGTTTTTTTTTGTCGTCATTCCGTTTTTTTGTCCCTTCTTCTCCTTCTTCATTCTTTTGGCTTTTAGGTGCACACGCATAATGACGAGAAAAATAAATAGGTGGTGCGGAGAATCGAGTGCGTGTGTGCGCAATTTTTGAAATGAAAAACGCAAACATTGCCACCTCATTTCCTTTTGGGACATTAACGAACCTACAAAAAAATCAGACCGAGAAGTTTCTGGCTTGGGTGCGAAAATCAGAATGCGCTCGAGCTGTCGATCTATTGAATCAGTTCACACAAGTATTTAGCAATGACTGGCAACAATTTGCATGTGATTATCGAAATATTGTCTTCTAACGAAGTTCCGATGTTAAACGGATACTGTAGGCTTCTTATTCGAAAGAAGCCCAATAAACCAAATCAGATCGAATCACTATATGTGATTGTTGATCAGTAATTCAAGGTGTTTAGAATTCAGACTACAGTTACCAGCCACCACATGTCTCAAATTTCGATTCGCATAGTCCCCATATTTTCCATTATTATTTGGCTCGTCTGACGTCGCGCCGAATCGTCGAAAATTGCCAGCGCCACAATGTTGCAAAACCATTGAAATTGAGTATTACGCATGAGTTGATCTGACCGTTTCAAATGTGAAGTGGACTGTATGATGGAAAGTCCCCATCGGCGAAAAATGTTTGCAAAGTTCATGCTTGCCGATCTCTTTCTCTCCCACCTCATTCCTCGTGATCATATGTTCAGTTTGGCGAGCGTTTTGCGACTGCCTCGGTCTAAACAACCAATCAAACATACACACACACACGCGCGCATACGCATACTCGCACACATCATTCGCAATTCGTCAAAATCGCGCCAAGTTTTCGGTTGTGGGCTCGCGGAAGCGTCGCGCGGATGCTTAGTAACAACACTCGGTCGCGAATGTGCGGTGCGCGCTCGCCGCCGGCGGCAGCGGCGTCGGCAAAATCCGGTTTTTTGGTCGCCATGTTTTTGCGTCCTCCTCTCGGAATGTGTTGAACAATTTTTTATTCAACCAAAGCGATTCAGTTGATGATGATGATGAATGAATGAATGAATTTCGTTGTGGGCAACAGTGATTCTCGAAAAATCGTTCACAAACATACACACAAACACACACGCAGACTCATTCGTATGTATAATTATCGAAATTCATATATATATTGAATTTTTTCGTTATAAATCGCATACCAATTAAGTGGCCCACGCGGACTTTAATGATGTGCAAATCGGCGCCGCTGAAAGTGAATGAATCGGTTTTTGAATTCGGCTTAGCATTTGTTGTAAGCAGCGCTGTCTGACAATTAGCATAACGACGAATTTGAATGCGAATGTCTGTCATACTGTAATCCGAATAATGTTTGCTTGAATGTTTTGTTGACTCAATGCAAGTTGAGAATCGAATCGAATTCAAAAATAGTTGGATCCGGAATTCTTATAAGGTTCGAAATGGATTTGGCAAATAAATAGATGTGTGTATGATGAGGATCATTGAAGATACTTTTTGGATGTCGTCGATTTCACAAAACCGGATTACCTTCGTTGGCCATGATCATGATCTTAGGTTTTATCCGATCGGCAACATTTGGGTTTTTGAACTGACCGTTCCGACCTGGGAAACTGGTCGTTATACAACCGGTTTACTTCAAGATCAAATGATAAATAACGGAAAAATAAACACTGGGTGGCCGGTTGATTTTGTCAAAAAAATAAAACGATTCACAGGTCGTTTTCAATCTTCTTAGAAATTAAAATAATTTTAAATGTTTTTTTTTCCGGAATTTTCAGTTCTATTTCGTATTGTACTATGCCATGGTTCAAGTTCTTCATTATATTTTTTTTATTATTTTTGGTTCTCAGATTGATTATAGGGTATCTTTCGTGCTGTAGCACTTGTTCATTATTGTTTAGCCGTTTTGAGATTTATTAAAGAGAGTGTAGAATGTTTGAGAAGTTCCATACAATTGTCATTCATTCGTTTTCAGTTGGCTGCACTTTCCAACATTCCTTCAATATGTAAAAGTGAATCGGTGTTGTTGTTTTTGTTTTGCACTTTGTTGAACAGTGTCGGAATGAACAAAGAATGATGAGTATTGAAAGGAAAAACTACAGTAGGGTCTCGCATCGAAACCGCGAATTGTTTGGATCCCGCGCGCATCGAAGTTCTGTTTTTTTATGAGCTAGGGAAGACGGTTAAAATTGGCGTCGATTTCAGTCAGTGTCCGTCATCGTCGTTCGCATTTATGGTTATAATTTGAATTTAATCTCCTCCCCAAATATTCATAGATAAACGGAAGTTTCCCGAATACAGTATGTATGTGGCGGATTTCCTTGTTTATCGCATCTCATTAGAAGAACAAAGACGTCGGGAATAAACGAAACAAAAGTATTGAACGAAGAGATAAGATAGGCATGAGAAATTGAATTAATGAGAAGTTGAGACATAAAATATTTTATCGACATGATGTTTGAGACGTCCCGAATAATCGCCAATTCATTTGCGAGGGGTGTATGACAATTATAATGCACTCGTAGAAAATTGGCTGATGTTTGTAGACTCACCAAATAATCGCTTGTTGGAATAGGTTTTCGATTATTGAATTTGAAAATGAAATGAGTTAATCCGATGGGTTCAAAACAATTCAAACCATTCACTTTCAATTCCTTTGGAATGTTTAGAAATTTTATGAATTCGAATTTGAAAGAAGTTCATTCCATCATTATTTCCATAGGATTTCATATGTGTCAATCAGGCGAAATCTCGAAACCATTAATTAAATCTCAATGAATTATTTTCCGTACGATGACACCTTGATCAATATTAAAAACTGGACAAACCTTGAAAAAAAAAAGCAATTTGTCAATCTTCTCACCTAGTCAATTGTTGTCAAGAATGATGGATCGCTGATTGGTTGCAGATCGTTGAATATGAACCACCGTATGATAAGGACCATCCAGCTATTGTTGCATTCTGGAACGCGTTCTTCCGACTCACCGATGACGAGAAAGTCAAATTTTTGCAATTTCTGACTGGCACCACTCGCCTTCCGGTCGCTGGAATGTCAGCGCTTGGTGCTAAAATTCAAGCGTGTGCTCCGGAGGTATGAAGAACGGTGGTCATTTAACCAAAACCAGATTTGTTTCAGTCGCTTCCTGTCGCTCACACTTGTTTCAATCTGCTGGATCTGCCGCCAATTTCGGACAGCGATGAAATGTACCGGAGATTGTTGATCTCGATTGAGCACACCGAAGGATTCACACTTGTATAATTAGTTTCATACACACACTCTCTCTCTTTATCTTTTCGCAATTGATTAACCCACACACGTTTTTGTTCGCTTTATACGGGGTACCTGACTTTTCATTGAAAAAGTACTCTGTGATTTTCAGTAAAATTTTTAAATATAAATGATTTTTTGAAATTATCTGGTTTCAGTCCAATACAATTACTAAGTATTATTGAATTTTTGAATTCACTGATTTTTCTTAGATGCAGCTTCTGGTGCTGATCAAACCGGAGATTGTGGCACATCAGGTTTTGCAACAGGTAATGGGATCCCTCTCTTCCCTTCCCCCATCGTTCCCTTTCGCTTCCCTCGGGTCCTGCATCGTCATATAGTTTTGTATTCGAAAATCGTATTATGTGGATAAGCGGCATGACCTCTTTCTATCCGATTGTAGACAGCCGCTGCAGCTATATGTAGGTCAATTCGTGCGACCACATAGTAGTAAGGGAGAAGAGAAAGGCGAAAAATGAAGGGGGGTCTGATGGAATTTCACTTTCAGCAGAAGCGAACCGAACCGGATCCTTGAGCGCCGCCGCTCGCGCACGCGCAACCGGCTTCTCATCGGCTGAATGAGAAAATGGAGATATGAAGAAGACCCCCCCCCTCTCTCTCTCGAAATCTCTTTCTCTTCTTCCTCGATTCTTATGATTTTTTTGCTGGGATGACAACTTTTTAGGTGGCGATACGAGAGCTTATCAATGCGGGAATTCGGATCGAAGCGGCAAAACGGCTTCGGATTGACGAGCGAATGGCGACCGAGTTGTATCAACAACATAAGGGTATATCATGCGAAGACCAAAATGATGAACACGGGCTTGACGTTTGTTGGATAGCTGGCTTCTGAGATATACATATATTGAGTTTTTCGTCAAATTCAGCCCGCTGCCTAACGCTTTCGCTTCTAGTCGCGATCTCTCATCTGTTCGCTTCGAGACCCCGAAGTGTAATTAATTAGATCATTGATTTATGATTATTCTAAATGGACAATACGGGGTGTTGAGTGAGCTCAAAAGAAATTGGTAACAATTCCGTGGTGCTGGTCCCCGAATTCGGCATTCCTGTGAATGGCATTACGGTAGGCAATGACCAAAATATGCAATAATACCGTACTACCCATTCAACTCGCGCCCCCCCCCCCACTCTAGTTCGCAATGATTTGTAGAAAAGTTTTTGTGGAAATAATTGTATGCTTTGAATGCGCGGACGAGCGAGACGCTGCAAGACCCCCCCCACCCCTCCGAGGAATTGTTGGATTTCGCGTTTATTTTTTAATGGATGGTTATTGGGTTAATTATAGCCCCACAGAACGCACAATGCGAAATCACCACAAGTGTCGGCGGCGGCGCGAAACATCGTCATCATCATCATCATCATCATGAGGCATTAGCCGCAGCAGCAGCGGCAGCGTCGGCGCGCAATTCGCTCGCTCACATGCCTTCCGATTAGATTGCCTTTGTTTTCCAGGCAAATTCTTCTACAATCGTCTCGTTCGTCACATTAGCAGCGGCGAGGTGATCGCGATGCGCGTCTCGGGCAACGTGCGCGCGTGCATCGGCAGCAGTCGACTGTGGCCGCGCGGCGATGTCGGCCAGCAGCCGTTGCGTCAGCGGCTCGCGCTCTCCGACGTGCGAAATGTGGCGCACGCGAGCGACGCGGACGCGGCCGCCCGAGAGCTCGAGTTGTTCGAGCTCAACAGTTGTCAATAAATTATGAAATAAACGATCGACTGGAAAATAAACTAATTTAATTGAAATAAGTGCAATTGTTCTTGTTATCGAATGCCCTAGCAGGTTCGAAGCCCTTTTTCCTCTAAATTGACAAATGGCGTGAATTCACGTGAACACTACGAGAAACTTGATGGACAATTTTCAAACAGGATTTGACACTTTGGTTTTGAGACCGGATTGTGAATCAGCAATATCGAAAATCATTATTTAGGGTCCAATTCTGAACTAGCATACTAATGAAAACAGAGAGAATTTGACGGCTTACTCATCCCCCCTTCAAACTGGAAAACAAGAAATTATGTGCAGTAATCTGAATCATTTAATTACTGTTGAATGGATTTGAAGCAATCATTCGTGATGACGTCATAATTGATCGGTTTATGTTTCGTCGGCGATCTCAACTGTTTTCAACGACTGTTTTTCGTCTGTTTTATTATTTTGTATACATCCATTTTCCCGAAAGCTTTAACACGAACCGGTTTTTCGCGCGTCGGCGCGCTGCCATAAACGGATCGACGCCAAAATCTTTTTTTTTTGTGTGTGTGTGCGCGCTGATTCATCGACCTCGGTTATTAGCTTTCAATTGTTTTTATCTGGATGAAAACATTGAGGGAAAGAGAGACAAAAATGGACACAAAGAAAAACGGCGCTGGGGAGTTGTTGGAGACAAAATTGAAGGAGAAAAATGCGAGGTAAAATAAATGTATTGTTGATAAACTCGTCACAAAGGCGGTTGGGAGGGGGTCTTGATTTAAAATGGAAAAAAGACGAAGAGGAACTGCAGGGGAAGACACAACCAATTTTAAATACTATTGCATTTTGTTTGAATCACAGACATTAATATTCACAATCTAAATAAGGCAAATGGCGGCTAATGGTAATAGGAATTAAGCTTCAATTGAAGCGGACTGACTGACTGAAGTAGATCAAAAACGATGAGGGGGGCTATCTGATTAGGAATTTATTAATTATTATTGACTATTATTAATACAATACTATTTATTAATAATTAAGGGGACTGGAACCGGACGGATTGGTGGAGTTCTCCTCCTTCACTCTTTAATTGAGATGTTGCGGGTGGGGATGATCGGCTAGAAATGGCTAGATTGATCCGGATGTTGTGCGAAACATTGGGGGGATTTTTGTTGGGTGAGATCGATGGGAATCTGGGCTTGAAAGACTCGGGATATTGATTAGGTGCGGGATGTGGGTGGCTGCGAAAGGGGGGAATGCTATGGACAAGATATAACGAGGTTGGCGAACAATCATGACGAATTGGCGTACTGTTGCGGCGAGACCTCGACGAGGGTGGCGGCGAACGAGCCGGGCATCTCTGCCGACGGCTCAACGTCGATGATGAACGTGTCCTCGTTGCAGTAATGCCGCAGCATGTCTTCGTCCATTTTGACGGTGATCCCTTTGGCGCATCGCTTGTACACGCCGCTCATCTACAACGAAACACACATTTCATAACGACACCTTGTTGACATAAACCCCAAATTGAGTTGAGAGAGCATGAGATCGAGAGCCTCAGGAGGTTCTATTCTCGTGCACGACTTTTTTCGCACGAGTCTGACCTCCCCGCGGGGAGGTTATTTCGGGCGACTCACCCGAATTAGGTCGAGCAAATAAAAATGAGAGGCAAAAATAGAGCCAACTCAACTTAAGATGGTGTTGAAAAAAAAAGAACAACAACAACAACAATGAAGACTCCTCACCTTTTCGGGATCCACATTGAATTTATTGGCGATTGCGTGAGCGAGACCAACTAATGTCGATGGGACGACGTGAAGCGGCTGATAGATTTGCTCCTCTTGCTTCCGAATGTACAACATTACTGGAATTACTGAGATTGGAGTCAAATAAGGATAAAGCATGTAGAATTGAGATTTAAAAAAAGGTTTTATAAATGATATCGGATTTTAAAAAAATTAGAAATTACGCATTTGAAAACTATCAGAATCATTATAGAAATTAGAAAAGTCAATAATTTGACAATTTTTTTCGAAGATCTTTATGAAAACGCGAACACGCCTGAATTAGTCGGACTGGCAAAGAAAAATTCTGGTAGTCGCTTTTTTTTGGGCAACGCGCTGTATTTAGAAATAATAGAATGGATTCGAAAAATGTCCGTAACACCACGACGATATATTGCAGATGTGATATAAACGAAGCAAATCCGGCAGCTTTGAAAAGGGCTATTAGTTTCATCTTATGATTTTTGAAATTATACGATTTAAAGAATGAATATATGGAAATGACGTAAATCACTTGGGTAGAATTACGAAATTTTGACGCGTTTGAATGATTTTTTTGCGAAATTGATTTTTTTTTAATACTTAAGCTTGTTCAATTCATCTTTAGAACACCCAGAAATAGCAAGTGAAATAGCAAATGACGAGACCATATCTAAAGGCGCATGGTCGTAAATCTACCCAACAAGTTATGTGCTTCTTTTTTACATTTAGGCGAGCGAATTTGACATATTAAAATATTTTTGATCTTAGCGCGAAATGAACATAACTTTGCTTGCGCCTTTAATGCCTACTGTAGTTTTAAATTTATTTTATACAAGAATAAACTGAAATGGATTACAATAATATCATGGCGCGAAAATTTCTATCAAACATAAATATCGCCTCCTAAATTCGTCCTAGACTATGTATGACAAAATCAATAATTTCTAATAACTTGGTGAATTGAACTGATAATAAAAATCGAAATTGAAATCGATAGGAATGCACCAAGAAAAACTCACTCCTTTCAGAAGGACGCGGTCGTTTCGCCACCGGCTCCATGTCGCTCATGTCGAAGCTGATGCTCGTGTTGTCCACATATCTCGTGTCGAACTCATCCGGCGCAATGAACAACGCCGCCGGTTTGTCGAGCTCCCGCATATGATAGAATTCGGATCGATCGCATTGCTCGTGATATTCGCCTTCCGACTTTTTGCGGCCTGACAGCGCTCCTGCAGATGCGAATTCTGAACATGACGGTGTGTTGCGAAAAACGGCTAGCCGTGAGAGCGATTCATGTTAAAATCTCGACACGGACATTCGACATTTACTATGTATTAATAATAATAATAATGATAATGATAGTATTAGGCTAAGAGGATTAGAAATGACATGAACAAATGCTTACCTTGCATGCGACGCTTCTCGTCGCGTCGATTCTCGTGCAACATTTTGCGATTGGCACCCTTAAAAACACAGTTAGTACGACACATAGATCTATGTTGAAGAAGTTGCTCGACGACGAATTAGTGCTTGTTCAAACGACGACGACGACGACAAAAAGGACACAAAAACGAACGACACGGGCTCTCAATTTACGTGAGAAAAGCGGACGACGCGTTTACCTGCGAGTTTTCGCTTCTGCGCACGTTTGTCTTCGTCGCGGAGTTTGCGCTCAGCGCCCTAATTCGGAATCATGTATAAACTAGTCAATTCGGCGAAAAATATTTTGAATGAGAAATGAGTAACTAATTTTTTTTCTAGGCAAATTTTCGTTGAGCTAATCGAAATAAGCGGTTACCTTGTCGCAGAACACCTTGATTTGACAATAGCCGCGATGGAACGGCAATTTGTCGCTCTCGCCGTCGTAGGTGTCGATTTGCACGTGAAGCGGCAGACCCTTGACACCTTTTTGATTCGAGAAATCCGTCGACAAGCATTGAACTGCTATACTAATCTAAAAGCCACGCCATCTTCTAAAGAAATTATTGCCGAATTCGGTCTACCTTCACTCCATTCTGTTCTGACGGATTCCAATAAAACTGAACCGCGTTATGGGCGATTTCCTCGATTTGTCCGATCATTCCTGAACTGTTCTTACTGTCAACTTCAAGGATTCTCTGTTTCGACGAGTGCTGCCTAGAGTGCCAAAATTGCCAGGTTTTGATCTCTTCCTCATAGGTTTTATCCTCTCGGAACACAATCATCAGCTGGCTCTGAAAACCAACGAAAATTGATATCGAGTATGGGAGCAATCCTCCAGCCTTAACAGTAACATTCTTTAAAGGTTTACAAGGGTCGGGAATATAATCCAACGAGACTGTATAAAATTGGCCTTTATTCACATATGTCATTCGATCGTCTTCTTTTCGAACTGACGTTGATATCGGGGCTTCAAGGACGTATTGGAATCCAAGGGAATTGTGCCTGAACAATCAATAATTGAAAATGAACCATCGAGACCACACCCAATAGCAACTAACAATTTCGGAATAATTAATGGCGAATCTCGATGGCTAAGCGTTCGTTCGCTACTTCTTTCCATGATTCCGCCATCGGACGAATTGAAGAACTCTTCTTTGGGATTGGCAAGCAATGAAATGTCGCCGCCGATGCCTGAATCAACGGGACTCGGCATGTCGACTGCTTTATAGACGATTCGCTCATTTTCAGCCACTTGCTGTGCGTACTGTTGTGTGGCATTCCTCGAATACTGATTTGCATAAGCTGCCGCGTCCATCTGACGTCCCCAATCCTGTTGGACAGTGTTTGCCAACACCGTCGGATAGTAGATCGGTTGAGCGCCGGCCGAGCCGGGATGTGTCGAGATGAACGGCTGACCGGCGTGTCCGACAGTATACTCATAGACCCTCGTGTATTGTGGCATCGGTGTTGAATAATAATCAATGTTTTGCATTTTGGAAAGGTCTTGAAGATTGGTGGCGAGCGGCGCGATGTCGATCGGCTCATTCTTGGGAAACTCGAGCTGTCGTCCGCCGGGCGGCGCGGTTTTGATTACTGACGATTGTTCGAGTTGAAACTGAGACATTTCGTCTGAAACCGAAAACAATAATCGAACTGCGATATTCAAATCGGAGCGAAACGATGATAGAATAATAATAATAATAATAATCAACGTCATTGTTACACAAAACAAATGATGGCGGTGGTGATGATCAACGATTTCGCAACAGATAGGCATATTCGAAACTGGTTGCGAATCATTGGATTCCGATCCGGATTCTCGCGTCACATTTCTGGAGCTGGTAGCACCACACTCCAGAGGCAACGGCCAAACAAATCCAGTTTTTGCGACAAGAAATTTCGAGGCAAACACCTCAACGGCTCTTTTTGTGCAAATACACACACACACACACACACATACGCTCAACCCACAACGGACAGGTAACGATCGATTGCATGCAAAAAAAAGTGAGAGATTACGGTAGAAATTGAATGGTGGCCGAAAAAAAATTGGGCGAAAAATGTGTGTCGGAAACCGATGGCTTTGATCAGAAAGAAGGCGAGGAAAAAATGAAGGAGAATGAGAATAATAGGAAGACAAATTGAGAGATTCGAAGAGATAGTTGACCTCGACGAGCTCGCCTGATAGGTAATCAGGTGCAAATTCGAAACCAGTAATCGGAAAACCGGCTGGTCACTTTCGGCGAGGGTAACCCCCCGTGAACCCGCCGAGAACCCGGTCCGGCGGTCCGGTCCACACACATATCCGGTTCGCGGCCTCGTCTCTCGGGAACTGCCTGCACCAGCTGGCTGCCGCAGCGAAAACCTGACCAGCAGCAGGAACCCGTGCGTCGCAAGCGATCGGGCGGCCCTCCCCGAAACGAGAGAGGCGCGATATTCGGGGCCCCGCAGAGAAGGCAGACGGGCGATGTCTCTCCGACGGGCGCCCACCCCCGGTGCGCAAGCGCTGCGCAGCGCGCTCTCTCACGCGACCGCGCGACCGCGCAACGCAATTCTCACAGTCCGCCAAAAACAAGAAAAACCGGCCCCCAACCCACCAGGGACGACGCTCGCGAAACCCGACTGTGGGACCGCCTCACGGGTCTTTCTCCCGTGAGCGCTCTCTGACACAGAGAGAGAGAGAGAGAGAGAGAGAGAGGAAGGAGGCGCGCACACCGCGGGAAGGTCGGAGGCTTGTTTCGAACCCGCCCGAGGCGCCAGCCAGCCCCGCCAGCCCGCCCACCCCGTCAGACCCTACGCCCCGCCCATTTGTTCACGGTATCTCACCGCAGACTCTCTTTAATGTTGTTGTTGTTATTATTATTATTATTATTATTATTGTTGTTTGTGTTTATGTTGTTAGAGAGCAGAGACAACGCGACGCGGTTCACGCGTCGCGGTTGTTTGATCTACGTTCATCTACCAGCAATTCTCTTCATTTTTTGTTCATTTCCTTAATGCAATTCGATCACGTCAATCATTCCAATCATTCTCCCAAATCCCATCGATTTTTTCATTTTCGTTTTTCGAAATCTCCAAAAGTGTTCTGCGGACATTTCTCATGTTTGTCTTGTGGCCCTGAACGACGTCCGCGAAAGCGAATCGAATCGATCTCGCTCATAATCGCCTCCATCGCCATCATTCGTCTTCTCTTTCTACCGTATCGCATCGTCTCATCGTCGCCAATATTGACGTGATTTTTTATTTTTCAGAATCGCTCGCAAAATGCCATACGAATAATTGAAATTTCGACCAACTTCTCATTTTTTTTTCAATATGTTTTATCATCGAAAAAAAAAATAAATGAATAATTCTCGTCCAAAGTCCAAATGCAAATCGATTACGGTAGTTGTAGCAGTAGTTGTTGTATACTGACGAGTAATAACATTTGTCCGATGCCGTCGACTGATTATGTGGCCGCCGCCGCCGCCGCCGCCGTCGTTTGTCGATTGTTGTCGAAAATTGTGCGCCTCGTGACGAGACGCAGACACAGGGTTACGGTAGATGAGGCGCCGCAAACGTTTCAATCATCAATGCATGTAGATGTTGTATGTGTATGTGGAGGTGAAAGCGAAATTTTTCGATGGGGCGAACGATTTGCGACTGACTGAAATTGAAAGTTTTTCGGGCGCTCGTTTTGAATATTCTCGTCGAGGATCGTTTTGACGACGACGACGACGCATAATATGGTTTGAAGGTAGACGAACGAATGAGAGAATTGATGGGGGGGGGGTGATGAGTGTCAGGAATTTCGATCATAAATTCACTTTGAACTTTGTCCTTGACTCTCGAATTTCTCCAATCAAGGGGGGGGATTGGATTGAACGTTCACGTGATTATTATGAAGATTGAAGACCCCCCACCCCTAGATTATGAATTTGTACTTTGTACCGTAAATCCGCAATTGTAGTCGTTGTGATACCGAATTGATCCAGGAAGAGAACGACCATACAATTGATCTACTGATGTTCTCATATTCGAAATGACCTATTCGCTATAATTACATAAATCAAAAGAAGATTGATATGCATTAAAAATTGAACGAACTTCCTGTTCTCTCTTCGACAAATTCCGATGTCTCGTCTGAATGGCGCGTCGCGGCGTCGAACTACCGAATTTTTCGGATTGCAGCGGTTCGGCAGGGGTTTGTTAGCGGCGCTACGATCAAATTGGAAAAAAGGCCAACTCGGCGAGTTGGAAAAATAAAGTTTGACGGAATTTCTCGTGTAGAAAAAAATCAATTTCTAACTCTTGCCTATTTGGTATGCGATTTTCGCTGCTTAAAAACATTTTGGTTGTTCAATCAAGCTGAAGCAGACAATCTTGAAATGAAAAAAAAAATTGAGTACCCATCTGTGTTGTAGCATCCAATTTAAGAAATATTTAGTAATTTGTACACAAATGAAATGGCTTCTTTGCCACGTTCGAATCAATGATGGAATTGCCGAAATTTTAATTTTCGACAATTTGATGTCGGAAAAAAATCGACGAAAAATCAGGCATGTTCATTGAATAATTTAGGATATCGTGAAAATTCGGTATTTATAAATTATCGTTGAACAAATTTAATAGGCGAAATTTCCGATTGCCACACTGCCCTGGTTTGAATTTGCGCGCATTTTTGAATTTTTCAAGTTTAATTTTTCAAAACATCTTAGTGATTCGAAAAAGGACGAACCGCTGTTGGTTCATATTGAAACTGAGACATTTCGTTTGAAAAAAAAATGAAGTGCGAATTCAAAGCGACCAAGTTTTCAAATCGAATTTAAACATTTTCTCAACAGAATTTAAATTATTTTTAATCGAATCAGATTAATTCATATGTCATTTTTCTACGAGTCTCATTGATATTCATTTTCCTGAGTTGGGGGTTCCACGTGAGTTCTCAAAAACTTCCGGTCTTCGTCTCAAAACTTTTATACCCTGCCAGAACGACACTACAATTATACATCGAATTTTGTGTGAAAGTTTCATATCTTACGCGAAATCACTTTTTTTTTAAAATTTCATTTTTGTCACGAAATCTTAAAAAATATTATTTTATAAAAAAATACTATTGATGCAATGAAAAAATTGTTCATTTTTCCAATGCAGCGATTCAAAAAATGCAATGGATACTATAATTAAATAATGAACAAATCTGCGAGACTCACGAGACAATTTGATGTCGTGCGTCTTTTTTCGAAATAACGGTATTATTTTTGATTTATTTAAATTTTCAATTTGTTTTTATTTATTTCAAGAAGTTTGTATTTTCTCATAAAAAATATTAAATCTTGTTTTAAATTTTACAATCATCGTATTCCTCACCACTTCGGTTATTTGCGTTTTGATCATAAAAAATCAAAAATATATAATACCGTAATTTCGAAAAAAAGACGCACGGCAAAAAATTTTTGCATCGTTTTTGCATTGCATTGGAAAAATGTGTAATTTTTTTTTTGAATAAATAGGTCCATGAGAAATCGATGGGTGTTAAAGGAAGTGAGTGCAAAATTACGTGTGTGTGTGTACACAGACAAAAATAGGATAAAAACGGAATTTCTTAAATCACATACCCATAAAAATTTGCGCAGTTTCGAAATAAATTTTAACGTACTTTCTTTTTTATTAAACCGTCTAAAATAAATCGTTCCGAGGCCAAAAATTGTTTTTTTTTAATGGCACGGCAACAAAAGATGTAAAGATAAGGAAGTTTGATGCTAATATCTCGAATTGGCATCTCTCTATTTGGACATTCATCTTAAAATGTGTAATTTTTGAATAACGCAACTCCATCGATAAATTATTGCTTTTATTATTGTATAATTGAAAACAGGAAAAAAAAAACATTTTAAATTCGGATATTCCACTAATTTGCGTGTTGGCTGAGTATCAAAATTGCCTTTACATCAAAGGATCATGCAAAAATTATTAGGTCTAGAAATTAATTTCCGCGTTTTTTTTTCGCATATTAAACTATAAAAAACTGGCAAACTTAAACAAAACTTTGATTCAAAATAATTTCCGTCATTAATAACATTTTCCCAGAGTTTTGGCAACTTTTGGATTCCATCATAATAGAATTTTTCTGGTTTGGACGCAGTCCATTCATCTAGCCATTTTTTGACGTCTTGATGATCTCGAGAGCGCTGCTCCGCCAGACCATGAGCCATTGACCGGAAAAGATGATAATCCGACGGGGCAAGGTCCGGAGAGTACAGCGGGTGCGGTAAGACTTCCCATTTAAACTGTTTCAGCGTATCCTTCACCGCTTGAGCAACGCGTTGTCATCAAGCAATACGACCTTTTCGTGTCGACCCGAACATTCTGGTCTTTTTAATGCGATTTCATGCCGCAACTGCACTAGTTGATGTTGATAGCGATTCGCAGTGATTGTTTCGCCAGGTTGGAGCAGTTCGGAGTACAGAATTCCTTGTTGGTCCCATCATATGCACAGTAAGACCTTCTTCCCGTGGATGTTGGGTTTTGCGGTCGAAGTCGTCGGTTCACCGGGACTAACCCATGATTTTCTTCGCTTCTGATTGTCGTAGTACACTCGTAGTGCAAAAAAGACTTTCTTTGAAATCTGTCCAACAAGATTTGTGAAGTTGGTTTTCTCTGCTCTTTGTTGCGTTCTGACAGCTGAGCTCCCCGCAAATGACGTTTTCCTGGCTCAAAGGTAGACATATTCTGAACCCAAAATAATGATTTTTTATAAAGTACGTGAAGAATGTTATATATAAGAAGAAAGCTGATAATATAGAGAAAATTATTATATAAAATTCGTTATATAAAAATAATTTCATTTTGACAAAAAATCAACAAGAAAAAAACGCGGAAATTAATTTCTAGACCTAATAGTTAGTTCTGTCCCAATAAATAAAATCGAATTCAATCGGTTGTCTGACTTCGTCGTTATAGGAAAAGCTATGAATATAGGAAATTGAAAAAAAAGAACAATAAAAAATTCGACTCTCCTATTTGCTTATCGGGATTGATTTCGATTTCATTCCATAGGAATGTTTATTAATTTCGAATTTTCTAAAAATGATCAAGGCAAACCAATTATTTACGAATGACTCCGAGCTTCGGAAAACTGTCGTCTCCTGGCATGGAAGCGGAGCACGCTGGACACAGTGCTTTAAGCAAAATCCAGTTGTTCAAGCACTTAATATTTGAATTAAAATCGATTCGATGCGAATTTTAGGCTTACAACATCATGATAACGACGACAGCAATTATCGCATTTGATAGTACTACCAATCAAATCGTCAAAGCAAATCAGACACGAATTATCCTGAAATTTGGTTTTTCTTTTAATGCCTCATCAATTATGGGTAGCATACTTCGATTTCAATATCGGCTTTTCGCGGCTCCTTCTTCTTATTCCACGGATCATCCTTTTTCACTGGTTTCAATGTCGATGTTGTCGGATGATTATTCGGTTGGACGCGAACGTTTCGTGATGTCGTCGAAGACAAGGAACGAGGCAATATCGACGAAGAAGATGACGCTGCCTCCGGAATTGGTCGAGGCCTCACATTCGGAACACTTTTCTTAACTGATATTGCGGGCAATCTGGAAAATGCAATTTTTTGATTATCAGAATATGTTAGAATCCGTCAACTACTTATTGCAGCGGTCGAACGCATTGGAAAATTTTGAAATGTACACGCTGCTAAATAATTTATACCGTAAAAAATGTGCTCATAAGCAATTTTTGAAAATTAAAAAAATGGTACTATTCAGATTTCGCAAATAAATTCAAAACACCGGTTAAAAACCCCTAAAATTTGTTATGCTCATTTTGCAAATAAAAAACTTCAAAAATCTCGGCCACGTCAGGGTTTTCGAAGCCTACAGTACCACAGTTTTTATTGATTCGCCGCAAGAATCCTAAAATTTTATCATATGCGCCTTTAACAGTAACGATTAAATTTTTATCCAAATTTTTCATAATTTTTTTGCTTCGAAAAACCTGCAAGTCCGAGGTTTTTGGAGTTTTTTTTTCCCAAATCTGCGTAATACCATAATAGGTTAACTAAATAGTGAAAGTTACAAGATCAGTTTGCAATTTTCACATAAACTGTTAATATATTTTTTATCGCAAAAAAACACGAGCAACCCGTGAATGTACGGAGTTTGATTTGCAGGTTATCCGTAGTACGGTAGCCGAATTCCCACTATTTAAATTGAAATTTGAATTGCCGCCCCGAACAGTGGGATGGCACACAACAAATGCTCAAAGTGCTCGTTATTGTTGCCACGGTAATATTTTTTTAAAGGGGAATATCAGAGCGACGCCACATTTAAAGGAACATGCACATAGAACTTGCCAATTATCCGACAATACCTGTTATTACTGGTTGATTCGATGCTTCGACGAGGTTTGCCATATTCGGTTTCAGCATCAGAGCTGCTAGTTGAGTCGCCAATAATATTTCTGCACAATTCGGCCACTTTTCTATTCGCAGCATCCAATTCCCGTTGCAGCTCCTTGTTTTCATTTTCGAGTTGTCTTATTTTTTCCTCGACTTCTTCGGTGTATTCTTTGCACAATTCCGCTTCAGTGTCAACCAATCTGATTTGCTCTTTCAATGTTTTGTTAACATTCTGCTTTTCGAGCTCTAAAGCGTCAACTTGCGATTTGGCCTGATCAATTTTAAGTTGCATCTCCATTTGAGCTTTTGAATTTTTCGCAATCAGCTCCTGCTCTTTCATCTCAAGCTCTTTGATTCGTTGCTTCAATTCCACAATGGACTGATTCACTTTTTCAATTTCTTCGTCGGTTGGCTCTATTTCTATTTCCGTTTTTACCTCATTTCGACCATTTCTATTTTTCGCTTCTCTTCTGTTATAAATAAAATGTACTGCACATTCATTTTGATGTTTTACCTTTTTTCGGCACACTTTGCGTTTTTCTTCTGCGTTTTCGATAATGACGTCGTCTTGGCACGACTCTCAGCAGTTTCAATCAACGACAATTCATTCTAAATTTTTAAAATCTAAAATGTCGGAATTGACAGGGAAGTATTTGATAACTTTTCTCGCTCTCAATTGAAACTAGGTCTCGAAGAGAAATTTATATCGTATTGTATATTAATAAGGTTAGCTTATATGTAATTTCTTTATAGCTCTACTTCGTGTTTATTGCCGATTTTTTTCTTAAATAAATTTATATTCCGACTATTTCGCATTACGCTGAATGAGTCAATTAAAGGCGCATGCTCATCGCTCCCCATATAGAAGAAGTAAGATTTCTTAGCCACAGGATTGACTTGCTGACATTCAAGGTTGGAGCAATATATTGATATATCTCATTCATTCGTTGTTTACATTTTTTTTTTTTGAAAAGTTCCCGAACTCATGATTATTAACAATCACATGAACTGTTGATTGCCTGGTCTGCTGCTGACCTGGCGTTGCAAAATAAACTTCGAAAAAGAATAAATTGTTAATTATGCTAAAACGACGCTTTCGCATGAAATGATGCTCCCATTTGCCTCCAAATCTCAGTTATATCAGAAAAAACGTACATGTTGTGGTTTTCGAACTATTTTCAATAACACGAAAAATCGTTCTGGCGAGCCATCGTCGTCGAGTTTTCGTCGTGCATCATCAGGAGGCTGAAACATCTGGAATTCATTTCGAATATTAATCAATAATAATTACAATTGTGAAGATATTGGAGGGCAACAAATTAAAGTTGAATGATTTTAATTTTAAATTGTATAAAAATAAAAGCTTTATAAAACCGAAACATAGGAAATATTGCAATGTTCAAAAAGTGGATATATGGTCTCGAAAAGAAATTGTCGTCACTAGAAATTTCACATGTGTGCGAATCAGAAGAGGGAATGAGAATTTGAGGTAACTAAACAAGGAATCTTGCAAATACTTGTGACAATCGATGGTTATGCCTATTAAAAATAAATCAGATTCAATCATATAATGAATATTCAAAAAATTCGAATCAAATGATATGAAATTTTGGAATTATACTCATGATTTTCAGATGTTGGCTAGTTGTTCGTTTTTTTTCCTATTCGATTTCGAATTGTTATTATTGCAAGTCGATGATAATCGAGATGTCGAAGTTTTGAATTTCGATGCTGATTTCGCAATATTCTGAAAAAACAATTGGCAACTTCAGAGGCTTCCTCAAAAATTACCGTCGATGTTTTTTGGGATGTACTAAGTACTTGATTCTTGGGTTTCAAATTGAATCTGAAAATCGGATAATCTGTGATAATGATTTTGAAGTAATGACTCCAACACTGTAAATCCGGTGGTTTGAGCACAATTCTCGATATTTTCGGCCGGCTCTTTTCGATCGCCTAAAGTGAGTTCCGTTGCCTTCGCGACCGCACTCTTCTCTTTGAGTTGCGCGTTTACTTCAAACAGCCTTTCATATTTTCTCATCGCTGCTTCATAATTTTTCTGTCGCGTCTTCAAATCCTCATTCGCCAAACTCAGTTTTCCTTTCAATTTTTTGCGCAAAGCTTTGTTGTTCGTTTTCAAAACATTGATGTCCCTATTGGTATTGCACATTTCTCGATGCTGATTCTCGCGATCTGACACACTCGCCGATGCCAAATTGACAACATTCGTTTCGAGACTCTTCAATTTCTCTTCCAACTCTTTTTCGATGCCTATATTACAAACGATTTCCCTCATTCGATAGATATACAACGCACCTTTAAACTCTTCAAACATTTGTGATTTCAAGCTTTTGACAACTTCGACTGGAGGAGAAGGCGCTGAATTCGGATGCTTATCATTTTGACTTGTATTTTTTCTCTCCGGAATACTCTGAAAAAAAGCAACAATTTCTAAAAATTGCATTAATTTTCATCCAGTTTTGAAAATTCGAATGCAGCAGGAAAAAAAGCGAAATTACTATTAGTTTCATATTAATCTCACAAATTTCAACAAAAAAATTAACGATAGTCGGTGTCCGGCGAGGGCTGTAGATTTACGCGCATGCGCCTTGAAAAGGTCTCGCCACGCGTGAATGCTTCTTTTGCGGTTTTCACGTGAACTGCTTCATTTTTCTTGATGAGTTTCGCATTTTATTGAATTTTCAAAGTCATTCGATTAAAAAATTTTCGAACCGGCCCATAAAATACAAAATAAGCGGCGAGTCCGTGCGAGACCAAAAGAAATACGCATCTCCGTAAATCTACCCGCGTGCAGCAGTCTCGCCGGACGCCGACTATAAAAAAAAATTCGAAAAGTGAAAATCTTTTCCATATACCTCACTTTTATGGGGTTTGTCCTTTTTTTTCTTTGACCATTTTTTTCTACGGATTTTTTTGTTTTTTTCGACATTACCTCACAGATTTTAAAAACGAAAAAATTGAAGTACAAATTTGGCAACATTATCGTGATGTCAGAAGTCGAAATGATAGGAATCCAATGGTTTGTGCTTCTTTTTTACAATAACTCATGAGAAGCGTAAAATAGACGCAGAAGTATGAGAAATGTGAATCATGGAGTATTATCATCTAATAGAATCGCACACTGAGCTGATTTTCGGTGAGTTTGATTCGCAGGTTATCCCGAGTACGGTACCCAAATTGCTACTGTATAAATTCAAATTTGAAATACAATTTACAAATCATTCAATTTTCGATAGTCAATTTTAAACTAATAAATTTTTAAAAAATTGTTTCAGGTTACCTTCAAGATATAATCGTCTCCATCCATACTTATGTCGAATATTTTGTGCCATTTCATCGATGCTTCTTTTATAAAAATCGGGTGGCTTATCGAAATCTTTGAAATTTTACAATGTTTCAATTCAACTCTCGTCGTGCCTACCTGGTAGCAGAACAATAATTGCGATTCATCGAACGAGACATTATGCGATTCGATAATTTCCTCAATAATGTCTATGAGCATCGAACGTTCGAACGGGTATTCCGACAGCATTCTTCGAAATCCTTCGTTTCTGCAAAACTCATTCACTATCTTTAAATGAAAATTCAAAAAATAAAAACTTTTTATAGCATGTCATGAAATAGACGAGAAAATCTTTGAACTCTTTTTTGTACTGCGGCGCTATTTCATATTCTCCTCTCACTTTTCTAAATTTCATTCATTTTTGATGGATTTCAATAGGATACCCATACATAAGCATTCGTTCAGTATACGCGGCTACCATGATTTTTTTCATGTACTTTTCCTCTTGGCCAATCCTGAATCGAATTATCCACCGGAATCGAATTATCCACCGTTTTCCACCTAAAAAATTTCGTCAATTGGTGACTCATCACTCTTTTTTTTTTTAAATCAAATTCATACACAACTCCAATCCCTTTGATGTGACATTCTTGTGATCTTCATGAAGAATGCACAGTTTTTCTTTTTTAAGACGACGTATATTATAGTTTTCAACGATCTGAAATTCAACTATTCGATGATTTCATTTTGCAATTTTGAAATGATTGCCATATTAGGATTCTTCAATAACATTCATTTCAAGAAAATCTTTTTATCAGCATTTTTATTCCTCAGGAAAATCAAATAAAATATTTTGAGATTCTTTGAGCAACTAACGTGTCTCTATAATATTTTAGATTTTTCTCAATCACTTTTAGAATTTATTATAAGAATTATTATTTGATTATGTGCAAAAAAACAAAAAGATTATTTGCAAAAAAACATTTTAGAAAATCTTATAAAATAAAAAAAAATATATTTTTAAGTTTAGCGATTCTTTAGAAGTTTTAGAAAGTATCAATAAACTTTAGAATTTTTCAAAATATTATTTTTGATTTGCCTGAGTGAGTCGGTCTCGCATTCAGTTTTAGACGATACATAATGCAAAAAAATGTTTTTCACTAATTTTTTTTTTGATTAATTTCTCTTTTTCAAATTCTTCTCGATGATTCTCAGCTTCGACTGTTGTAATAGAGTCTCCTCGAATTACGAATAAGTGGTGAGTCGAAACTCGATTTTTGAATTCAGATTCGAATTATTTAAATTGTGTGTGTGTTTTTTTGCTAGATTTTCGCATTTTATTTGTATAATGCCGCAGTTTCTTTTCGAATTTTTCAAAACCAAAAACTCACACTCGTTTGGAACATTGGTTTGCCGGCGATTCTTTTGATACGCGAGTCAAGCTCGTTTCTCAATAATAGCCCATTGACAAGAAATTCGAAGAGGAAATGATAGTCCTCCTGCTAAAATGAAAGAAAATCTTGGCAAATTATGTATTTTTGAAAACTCGAATCCAATATTACTTTCTGGATCAATTCGCACACAATATCGTATCCATATTCCAAATTTTTGTCCTCTTGAAAAACGAGGTCAATTTGTCGAAGAAGTCTCGACACCTCAATTCCGTGGTCCAGTCGGATAGTTACGGATGTCGAATGTAATGATTGAATTAAATGCGATCGATGCACGTTGTTGGTCATGTACATCGCTTCGAGAACATTCGTTTTTGGAGCCTTCGTATTATTGGGCATCGCGTTCGCATAATATATCACACGACTTTGCAGCATTGGATATCCCATAAACTGTTGAATATCAATATTAATCGAGTGATTCATATAAATAAGCACAGGGGTCTCCAAAAATCACCCGCAATTTCTTTTCTTGAAACTCTGTTTCGAGCGAAAATCTTAAATAACACTGCGGGAATCTCATCGAACTTCCATCACCGAGAAGGATGATCATATTGAACAGAAATAAAAAATTATTATTTGTTAGATGTTAAGTTAAATATTAGTTGAATCTCGTTGAAAGAAACCCTCGAAATTCGATGTTTTGTATGGCATTAATTATGGGTCCAAAATTGGTGTGAAACTCGATAAACAAGTTTTTTTAACTTTCAACTTTGCTGCGAAAAAACCGATTGAAAAAATATTTTTTAATGAGACGGGTATTTTTTGTTTTTATTTTTTAACCTCCAATGTTAAAAATTTAAGATGAAATCGTCAAAAATAAGAGTATATTTGCGAGAAAATAAAAAAAACATCTAAAGTCCGTATGAATACTGCTCATTTTTGGCGGCAATTCAAACGTCTTCAAAAAATGTTTCGCGTTTTTCTCATATTACATATTCTCAAACTAGTCGATTTCGGATAATTTTGAGCGACCCTGTGAATACAACTTACCCCAAAATTTTTAATAATATTCTGATAATGCATTACCAAATGTTTTTCGGTAGTAAATTGAGTGGTTCTGGAGAAAGGAAGAGACTGAAATGAGAATTCGTAATGCGATGAATCGGGCCCCGATTGATTTGCTACCCAGAAAAGCGCTGTCCATGAGTTGTGATTCGATAGTCTTTCGATGATTTCGTTATAAAGCGCCTCACAATTGCCCTTTTCCGCTTTAAAATCGCTCAATTCGTTAATTTCATTTGCGATTTTCTCTCACCAATCAATTGCACCAAACTCCGCAAATTCACATCATCGATCAGCAGCGTGTTGTTAATATTGCAAAATTCGCGTCGCATTTTCAACATATCTTCATTCTGAAATCCGAAAAATTTCAACTTCAAAAAAATTAATTTCGAGAAAATTATCACTTCATTCTAAAAATTAATTGTTTCTCAAATTTTTAATACGAATTCTACAAACAATTATTTTAGAATCAATTTTCTTCGACACTTACCCCACTTCTATTATTGTGAATATCTTTTTTGTGCATATCTGGACACGAGCATACTGTATTCAAGGTTACGGTAGATGCACACTCAGAATATTGATGCGTGTTAGAAACCCTCACAACTTTGATTTAAAAATCGATAAATGTCGGTAATTTTATGAATTCTTCGCCCAATTCAAGGTTGTCAAAAAACAGGGTCCCCGGCCCTATAGGGCCCAGAGCCGGGGACCCGTTTTGACAACCCTGCCCACTCCTTCCTCCGATTCCCTCTTGGTCTGCTTCAACTTTTTTTTGCAACCAAAATATTAGAGACTTGTATCATCTCTCATTGGTTATCAGTAGAATTTAGAGAAAAAAAACTTCCAAACCTGGTTGTCGTATTTTTCCAGCATTCTCTTGATAAGGAATACCGGCCATGCGCCATCCTTTTTAAAGCGTCCCACACGAATATTATTGTTCACAAAAATCATGTCCAATTCAGGCATTGTGCACTGAAAGATTAGCATGATGATGAGAAGAAAAAAAATTGAAAATTAAAAGGAGGCGGTCGACGCCGCGTTCCCTGAAGCTTGCCTGTGTTTGCGGTCGATACGCCTTCTAAGAATAGGCGACTGCAAATTATAAAATATGATGAAACTATTGATTTGCTTCTGCGACTGATAACTGGTCATTAAAAAAATTTGTTTGCTTTCATTGTTTTTGCGATAATGAGAAAGAGTTGAACTATATATACAGTGTGTTTCATATATTAAATGCCACACTTATAGATAGCTGTAACTTTCTCCGACGACAAAATTTCGAATTTTTGATTTCAAAATTGAATTCGGCGCTTTAAATTGTACCACTTTTCACATTGATATATTGTTGGAGTCAAACGATTTGACGAAATTTAAAAAATGAATGCGCCTCGAGGCAGCGAGATTGCGTACATGGCATTATAGCGTACGCGCATTTAATATTCAGTCAACGATTAATTTAAATCTACACCGATTTCGCGAAACTCTGGTAACTCAAAACCAATCGGATCCGACGAAATTCGGCTTCGGAATCAATCCGATTGGTAATTCTACGGAAATTATTGGAAAATTGTCGGATCCGATTGGTTTTTTGGGTATTTTCGGATCCGACTGTTTTTTTTATTCCGGAGACGAATTTTGTCGGATCCGATTGGTTTTGAGTTACCAGAAAATTTGAAGGTCCCACCTCCATTCAGTCGATTGACGCCGACAATAAAAAATTAAAATTGGTGCTTTGCAATCGTTTCACATTGAAAAGGGCCATACACACGGAATATAAAAGAGAATATAAAAGATTTGTTTCAAACAAAAAGTTTTTTGGTGTCAACTGATTGAACAGATGTGAGCGACACTCGTCGGCTGAGGTCAATCGAACTCAATCATAAACTATACAATCAATTTGTTTATAATACATAGTAAGACGCTTGATTTATAGCTTATTTTGTATTTCTAGATGACTTTCAAAAATTAATTACAAGAAATCAAATTGAAATCGAGAAGAAATTGGCTGTCAATAATGCGAACAGATTGACATTTATAGTGAACCGATGCAAAAAAAAGATAGAAATGAACCAACAAAAAAAATAAACGGTTCTGATGAAAGAGCTAATTCAGGAAAAAAAAAAGAACAAACAAATTATTAAATGATAATTTTCTTTTTTTTCTCTCTTTAAAAATGGAAAATCGGGTTATTCTCGCATAAATTCCAGTTACTAGCAGGCAGGCAGGCAGCAATTCAACGAAGGAAATATTATGCTGGAAGGAGGCATTGAAGGTTGGTTCGTGCTATTTCGTGCGAATAATGATGTCAGATTAATTTGTTTACGTTTGATTCGTTCAAAAAAATATGGAATTTGGACAAGAGACTAAACTCGAAACGTTTTTTGCACATGCGAAACTCCACACCTACTCAAAAATTGCAGTGCCACAGCGGCGGTTTGGTGTGAAAAAAGCTGGAAGTAGGACTGGAATATATCCAAACGATCAATCGAAAATATATATTTTACTGAATTTTTGCGTCCTAACAGATTTCCTAAATCATATAAAGTAAATTTGAATCATAAAATCACACTTATGGAAGTAACAAGAATGGCGAAACGAAGCTGAGCTATCAGTTGGAGCAAGAATGCTCCGTGAGTTTTGATCCGCTATGTTGGAGGAAGCAAAAATGTACGTACAATGGAAAAATTAAAACTTGATGATCTCTTATAAGGCGTTGTCATACTTATAGGAATTTGGATAGTGTTCTAAATGAATCACAGCACCCCATAAACTTGTTGAACAGATTCATAAAGCAGGTTTTTACTTCTGAAAAATCGGTAATTCTAAAACAATTTCAAATGTCAAAATCGATTTCTTGTATCATTATGATTTATTTTTCAAAACATCATGGCGACCCCAAAGCTTTTTAAGGAATGTTATACATATGTATGAAATCTCAATTGAGTTCGTATCATTGTACCGTTTAATTCTCTCACAGGGATTCTCCCTAATACGGACATTACATATCGCATCTTGTTTGATTCCATTTCAGTTAGCCGAATTCAATTTGCATGTTTGCAGTAGTAATTGATTACCGTCGGCCGGGTCGTTTGTTTCAATGACACTCAACTCTTTCGCCCTTCTTGTGTGTGTGTCGCTTTTTTTCGCCATCTCGCCGTTTTCCAGTCGCCAATTCTTAATTATCGCACTAATTTCGATTAAATATGTAAAGATTATAATTACGAATCTGGCCAGAACTTTCAAAACTAATGAGAAAATTCAACACACGATTGTTTCATTTTCGATTCGGCGAATTGCGTTGCAAAAATATGAATGAGCTTCGTTTATTTAAAATCATCAAAAATAATTATTAAACAATATAATTAATACATAGAGTTAATTAAGGTTAATTATATAATTATATATACGTGACCAACAAAAATGAAACTAATTTCTTATGTACACTTCTTTGAAAGATTTCAAGCCGCTGCGACAATCTCGATAAGCTGGAGTGGACAGAAACGGACCCCATTGGAAACGTGTGGAACTATAATGGAAGATATCGGCGAACTGGAAGACGAATTGATGCCGGAGATGAGATCGAATGGAGACAATCGAACACCATTGATATCATGGAAAGAGCTGGTCGACGTCGTCGTAGTGGAGCTCATTGAGTTGGAGGAGCACGGACGAGAAGGATGCTGGAACGAGAAGACTAATATGGTAGGAAGGGGAGGAATCGAACCTGGAGGAGCCACTGCGCTGGCGGCATTGGAAGTTGTCGAGCGGCTGGAGAATTGAGATAGTCGGGAGTCGAGAATGCGCCAGAAGCCGCGATTCGCTCGGTGTCGTCCATCACACTCATCCTCTTCATCGACTTCTTCGTATTGTGCTTCGTCGACTTCTTGCCGGATTTCAGCGTTTTCTGAATAATTATGGTACATAGAAGGAAAATGAAGAAAAACGAACGGACCTTGTAAATCGGTGACTGCATATTCATAGAAGAGGAAGAGAGCACGCGTCGATGATGAGCTCAGCACACTGACTGATAGTAGAACTGAGCCACGCGATTGGAGAATACATCTTGGCTCCGCCCCATTTTAACACATTGGATGGGTCGATCGGGCATGGTCCTTCGGCGAACTGTCAAGGAGAATGGTCCGTTGGGAAAGTGACTGACAACCCGCGAGTTGTCGCCTCATCTCGCACTTTGTGATTTATAACGCAAAACTATCGCATCGGCCAGCTGTCGTTATTAAATAAACAAATTATGTACAATTCCAAGTCATGATATTTGATACTTTATGATTCCTAAGTCATTGATACTTAAAACTAGAAATAAATCTCAACCGTTTTCATATTGTATTGTCGAATTTGGCAAATTTGAATGATGAAACGCGTTCGTCATTTTTGATCTTCAACAAATTTTCGCATGCGCCTTTAATATCTACTGTAATTTTCAATGCATTTCATATTAGATCAACTCGAAAATGATTATCGGACCATGGCAACGCCCCCTAAATTCGTCCGTCCTCGACAATAAAAATTATAGTTTTAACAAATATTATAATATGCATATGCAAAGAGGCGTTGCAGTAAAAAAAGGTCATTCTTGTGTAATTTCACTAGATTTTCTTTGCATATTCTAAAAAATGAATTAAAGAGTGTTAATTAATGTCTCATCGACTTCAAACAGTGACGGTGTTGACACAAAATGCGCATCATTCCACGACATTTCGCACATGTCAATTCCCCAAATTTTTTCTCGTTAAATTCACACCAAACATTGTGCTAACCCTAACCATATTTCATCGCATTTCACACCAACTCTCAATGCTCTATAATCGTCGGGCGGCTCAGCTCATCATAATCACAAGTGTGCCAGCCGAGCGCGAAACCACCTAATAAAACACGACGTTTTGAAGCAGATGACTCGAAATAATTGCACGGTTTCATTCAGCCTTCGTTCTGCGTGTGTCCAATATATAATATCCATATATGCATGTATATACCTTGTTTGTGAGTATAATTGAAAAAAGAGGACATAAATGGGCGATGGATGGATGACAATCTGGCCTGTAATTCGATGCTTCTCGATGCCTTTATGAACAGGTGAAATCGCCCGCAACACCGCTTTGTTATTACTATTATTATTAATACAATTGTTAGCTAAGCCCTGCGCTAATCGGAAACTCATTAGTGTGCAAACTTAATGCGCACTAAAGAGTATCCATTACGCCACTAATTGGGACCATGAAAATATGTTTTGTTGGCTGGCCGGCTTCTGATTCAAAAACAACTCCCATAATTGGGCATTTTTTGAAATGAACATTTCTTTGACAATCACTGAACCGCAACTGATTTCCAACGAAGCCCTTATGTGAAATTAATTGTTTCATTTCTAATTTCTACAAATTCTACACGTAAAATTCATTAGATTAATTTTGATGGTCCGTAGCGGTTTATATCAATCGATTGAAAATTTTTCCAAAAAATCGAAACAATACAATTATAAGACGCACAGCAAAATGAGCTTGCTGGTGAGATTTGAAAAGTGAATAAATAAATATTATCATTCAATTGGGTCCCTTCATTGAAGTCAGAGAGCTCACCTCGTTACGAAGTGACAACTCCGTGTATTGAGAGACGCAGACGACAAAAAGATTCTGACACCTGCTCAACAAATAATCAATTTATCGAAGTATAAGAAAAAATCTGTTTGTCACCGGAAGAAACGATTCGATCGGGTCGAACAGAAGGCAACTTTTGGCGCAATCCGAAGGCAATATTCAATTTCAACACGGATTAGAATAACTTGCTAAATTGAGGGCGATGTGCAATTGGAGTGTCGTACTGGAAGCGTTTAAAAGACATTGGAAAAACCGCGAAAGTTTTTGGCAACTTCCGTGGACCCTATTATTTATTGTTTTTTTTTTCGAATACTTTCAAAATATATTTAAAATTTGGCAACAATTTTGGCAAATAAGAAATTTGGGAATTCTGAATTAATAATTCTATTGATTCTATCTATTTTAACTCAAATATTACGTCCGCAGCAGCAATCAACAAAATTCTCGATTCGATAGCGAACCTTGTTAAATTAATCTATTAATGATTTTCAGCTGCGGACAACTCTCGGGTTTTCAAAATCAAAGTATTGAAAATTGGAAACTAGAGGGAATTTTAATAGCGATTCTCAGCTGCGGACAACTTGCCGGTTTTCGATTTCCGTTGAATACTTTCGCAAACCCTTTCTTCCGTAATATGTGCGACGAAAAACAATACATTGTAATCGATGCTCGCTCGCTTCCTACCGTAATCCATTTGTCGAGAGAATGACTTCAAATTAGAGAGCAATTCACGATTGACTGCTTTCAATTCGAGCATGCCTCGTCCGTTGTCGTCGTACACAAACATACACTCAATACACTCGCCATCCGACACAAATGAATTGCGATACTGTGTCGAACTCCGCCCCATTTTGGCGGCCAATCGGCGCCGCTCGCCACGCCCACTTCCTCGTTTTTTGATGACACCCGACATCTCGAAAGAGGGGCCAGGTAAACCAGCAGATGGGCGGCATTATCGACACAAACGTGACGGCGACCGAATTGGCGACGACGAACACCATTGGTGAAGAATCGCCAAATAAAATGACACTCAAATTCTCTGTCGAACGACTTGTCGAGGACCGAAAAATAGAAAAGGTGACCGTTTTTCATAGTATTTTTCATTAATTTCATTTCGGCTAATTGATAAAAATCTATTGAAAACGTTTTTCAAACAAGTATTATTTAGAAATTGAAAAATAGAATTGCTAATGATGAATTCGTTTTAATTGCCCGCTAATTGTCTATTTTTATTTTTATTTTTGGCCAGAAGTCTATAACACCAAAAAAACGCATTTTTACTTTTTTTTCTCTTTCTTAAACTCGATTGTCATTTTTTTAAAATGAGAACTCATTAGAAATTATAAAATGTGTGCAATTTTGCGTGCATGTGTATGAACTTTTTTTTCGAACTTTTGAATTTCTCCTTCATAATTTTCTTCATCAATTTTAACACATTTTTTAAAGACAAAATTTCAGTGAATTTCATTGTGAATTTCGACCGCTCATTGACATATAAAATTATTACCAAAATCAGCTTTCCTATTCTTTTTTTTTAATTAATTTTTTTCAAAGACGTTTGTTAAGATAACTCCTGTAAAAATTGATAATTTTTCTTTCAAATTCATTTTTTTTTTCAATTTTTTGGCGCGTTTTTGAAATTTCTTTATGAAAAACTTTGATTATCTGTTGACTTTACGACCCAAATATTTAAGTACTAATTTTTGAATTATTATTCCGAAAATTAAAAAAAAATGCGAATTGAAGTATAGTGAGTTGAATACTCGAAAATCGTAACTTCTCATTTTCTTTTTGGTTGCAAAATCAAAAATTTATTTTCAGGAATCCGATGTAGACATCGAAGAAGAGGATGACGATGAGGAGGAGCCGGAAAAATCGAAGGACGAACCAATGGCTCAGACACTTTCCTATTTCGACGTTCTTCTTCCACATGTTCAAGTTTTCAATTCTCCTCGAAATTATCGATAATTGCTTATTTTCAGATGGCGTGTTCGAACCCGTTCATTTCAAGTCTCGGCGAGCAACAAACGCAACCATCTGGCCAAATATGGCCGAGCTCATGGCTCGAATTATTGCACAATTCGACGGCAGCCCAATTCGGTTCGTTTCTTTGCTCACATTACAGTAGCCCATCAATGCGAAGGGGAATTCGCCAACATTTTCCACAAATTATAGGCCTTATCATTTATTTTTAGTCATATCGGGTTACTGTAGTTGGCAAACAAAAAATTCGGAATAAAAGCACTTGGTTGAGAGGTGTTTTAATCTTGTTTAATTAACAATCGTTGTACTTTTTTTTTGCTCATTCCACCCAACTCGAAGACTCGCATTTCCAACATTTTTCCAAGAAAAAAATTGTGGGGGATTATTTGGCGAAATTCATTTTTTGATCTTGTACCTACACCGATTTTCAAATTGTTATTTGCACACATTCTTCTCAAATTTCAATACCCAAATAGTCAACGATTAATATTGGATTTTAGTTTTTCGAAAATTGATGAATTAAATATTATTAAATCGGTTGCCCCGCAATCCCCATAATTTGAGAAGTCCGAATCGTAATTATTTGGAACTCATTGAATCCTAATCGAATCGACTTTTGTAGGCGATGTGACAGCTGGCTTGTTCCTTCAGCCATTGCGCAAGAACAAACGGATTCGAACCGCATTCAGCGCATCGCAATTGGTTGCTTTGGAGAAGGCGTTCGAAGGCAATCACTATGTGGTCGGCAACGAGCGGAAACAATTGGCAGCTCGACTAGCATTAACCGAGACTCAGGTAAAGATCGAATGGGATGCGATGCGAGCATCGCTATTAATCGAGTCAATTCATTTCGCGGTGGGCAAACATTGAAGTATCGGATAGCACAAAGCGTGTCCTTCTTGCGAACAGCTACTTAGCACACCAAACATGTCGTCGGAGGACACTGTTAATCCGCCTTCATGTAATCGGTCTCGTTCGAGTGCTATTCTGTCGCCAAAGCTTGCTTGCTTACGGTAGTACTGTGAGCAGCAGCAGCAATAGCACAATGTGTGCTCACTTTGCAACAAATACTAGCCCATCAACTCAAATTATTTACAGGTCAAAGTGTGGTTTCAAAACCGGCGGACCAAACACAAACGGATACGGCTTGAAAACGGATCAGGCAAGTCGTGCTAAAAGAAATATCATATCTGCGGACAATTTTTGATATCATTGTGCAGATTTAAAAAAATAGGGACCAATTCAATTTTTTCAGACACTACGACCACCATGTCAAATGAAGACGATGAAGAAGATGACAACAAATCTTAATCCATTCCAAGCATTTTGCTTTTCATTTTTTTGCCATACAAGAATCTAGTATTTAATATCAAAATCATGACGATTTTCCCGTGAAAAACCGTGCCATTATATATTATGTATTATAATTATTTCAAATTATTCTAATATTTTTATGGGATAATAGTGATCGATCATTCTCAATTTTTTGTTGGTTTCACATCTTCGCCGTCTTCTTGTGCTCTATTTTCTTCGAAACCGATTTTACGTGCAATTGAACACGAAGCCACCGTCTTCTCTCGCCAATTTGCCTGCTAATTCGACGCACCAAGCCCGACACCAATAATTTGCGAAGAAAAAAGAACACACAGATACACGCAAGGCGGCGAAATGATGGGAAATTCGGAATTTGCAAGCATTTATAACCAAAAGGGACCACGATTTTCCTTCGTTTTTTTCTTTCACATTGAAATAAAAATTTCCTTAAAAGTCGCAGAAATTAAGTGAATATGTAGATGGTGCTTCAGTGTTTCGGAATCCTTAAAAATAGCTCGATATGAATAGTCAAAAATATAAATGAAAAGTCGGAGCCCGGCAATGTTTTTCTGAATACAAACTAACAACAAACTTGATGATACTAAATATGGTGGATGGTGGGCTTGGGGAAAACAACTTAATAAACTGAAACAATACGACTACAAGAATCAGGAATTCACAAAATCGGTGTTCACTAACGGGGACTTGCATTTAAATAAAGGGTGGACTTCGGCCGCGGCCACCTTTTTGCTGGATATTGCCCGATGGCATGATGGCGTGCGTCTCTTCGTTTTGCACTCTCTCTCGCCCACCGCCTCATCTTCTCGCCCACTCTCCCATTTCCACATTATCTCTACATTACAATTTATTTAATTTTGTTGAGTTTCTAACGTGCTCAAAAAATATAATTTCGTTGGATTTTAATGGTCACCCCCTCATTCGTTATCATCTTTGATGAGGTCATATTCCTTCTCACTTTTTCCTTTTCGAATTCATCACACGAACGTGTTGAATTGGTGGCCACTTTGATTCCGGTATGAAAATATTTGGTCTGCGAGAAATAACCGGAAGGAATTCAGAGTTTCAACAAAAATTGAATCTAATGAATCAGAAATGGAATTCATCAATTTCTAAATATTACATTAATTTCAATCAACATATTTTGCATATTCTGTCTTCATCTTCCATGCTTGATTCAGTCGGGTTGTATGAACTTTTAAGATTGCCCACGAAATTGAATATTCTCATTATCAACTTTAAAAAAAGGAATGGAATGAAGCTAAAAGAAACAGCTATAAAGAAGAAAATTGAAAGTGATATAAAGAATATTTGTTGAAAACAATTTGAATTAAACATAAAAATTAGATAGAATCGATAAGCTTCACTAAAAAATAAAAAAATTGTTCCTTATTTCGTCAATTTCGTTGTATACAGATGTTGTTCTACAGTAATCAGAAACGTTACACGTTTTCAATTTCCACGTTTTTCTCATTCATTTTCAATTCTCAGTTTGTCGATGTGTCTCGGAAACAACAGACAAAAGCGTGTTTCGGTAAAACGGCGGTGAAAAAAATTTCTACGTTTCTCAAAATCACTTACTCCCTCAAATGCGGCTGAGTCGGCGTTTCTTTGAAAAATCCATTACCCGCCTTTTGTACTACACGATTTTCTGAGTTTTATTTAATTTTGTTTGAAATATTTGGCTAATTTCACTTTTTTGCGATTTATTTATATCGTCTATAATGAAACCGTATTAAAATTCTTGTATTGCAGGCAAAGTATGAAGTTTTTTCTACAGCACTCGACAATTTAGATTTCAAGGCCGAAGAAATTTCGCAAAAAAAAAACTTCTATGTGATTGGAAGCCGACAACTATCCAGGCGTGAGAGCCAACGTCCAGGGGCTCGGAGGCTCTAACCCGCCAGCAAAATATGCTTAATTTAGTTAGGGGTAGTCATTACAAACGTACTATGACCCAACAAAAATCGGCGCAAAGGATATAGAAATTGCGACATTTACAGGTTTTTTTGCCCGTATTTTTTCATATCCTGAATATAAGTCTAGTGCCAGTTTTCAGCGCCAATAAATGTAGCAGTTGTCTTCAGTGAACTGCCAGCAATTCGAGGCTCCTCAGGCAAATCAAATAAAATTGTGAGAATCAAATATTCAATAAAAAACTGTAAAATATTATGAGAAATTCTAAAGCTTCTAAAACTTATTGAGAATCGCTAAACTTAAAAATATTTTGTAAAATCTTATAAGATTTTCTAAAAGTTGTTGAGCAAATTCTAAATTATCTGAATAAATTCTAAAATCGTATAATAAGTTCTAAAGTTGATTGAGAAAAATCTAAAATATTATAGAGACACGTTTGTTTCTCAAAGGATCTCAAAATATTTTATTTGATTTACCTGAGTCTGTTATCATGCAGCTCATCGCCAATGTTATAATCTCAGGCAAATGAAAAAAAAAATTTTGAGACAATTCTAAAATCTTATGAGGTTCGTTGAGAGGCTAACGTGTCTCTATAATATTTTAGATTTGTCTCAATAAACTTTAGGAAATCTCATAAGATTTTAGAATTTATCAATAAGTTTCAATGAATATTGTGAGACTTTAAAGTTTATCAATAAGTTTTAGATTTGTCTCAATAAACTTTAAAGTTTATCAATAAGTTTTAGATTTGTCTCAATAAACTTTAGAATATATCAATAAATTTTAGATTGTTCTCAATAAACTCTGTCCAATATTATGTAATATCATACGTTATCGAGCAATTTTCACACAAATAGAATGTAATAACAGCCATAATAATTGAATATGTATGAACATTTCATTTATTACAATATTAATGCGAAATGAATATATTAATAATAAAAATCAGAAAAAAAATAAATGAATCAATTTATTCTTTTCGCATTTTCTCCTTTTTCTGCGAATGACGCACAACGTTGCTATAAGGAATTCGTTGCATATACTGAAAGAAAATGTTGAACTTACAAATTTTGATGATTGAATTTGTCGTTTTTCGATTAATTTCATGAGTTCTTTGCGATAAAATGACTTCTTAATTAAATCCGGATTCGCGTTGAAACGAATTTTCAATGAAGTCACAATCTCGTGATATAGTTTATAGCTGAAAATTGCCAGTTTTAAAAAATAACTGAATGAGTCTAACTTTCTCAAAATACTATATCCAATCCCGTTTGTCTGTTCCGAGCACATGTTTCTCTTGATAACGTGATAAATGTGCTCATGCGCTTGCGTGCTTATTGCCGACAGCTGACCATGACATTACTGTACAAATGGTATATAAGTTGCTGAAACAATAAATACAGTAATCATTAGTATTATTTCTTATATCAACGACAATAGCATGATGCTACAACGTTCAATAACTCTTAAAATTGCAAAAAAACGACTTACGTGCACTTTTGAACCAGAAAACAATTGAGGCGCCCCATCTCAAATTAGAATTTCTAATAATTTGCAAATATCTGCGATCTGAAATAAAAATTTTCTATTATGTACATAGCTAACGATCCCATATTACTTTGTTTGGTAATGTTGTATTTGTAACTAAGCGAGTCGGTGACGCCATCCATCGGTAGCAGGCATGTATAAGCAACACAACGGCTGAACCTAACGGAGGGATGGTCCTAATCATGGCGTTAGAAACAATTTTCACTTCAAAAATCTTCAAAGGATGATAATTGCAAGTGGTAAATTAACTTACACTAGCTTTTTCGGACCTATTAATGTCATTGAATTTTCCTGATAGCGACTTTACCGAAGATGGCAGTCTCGCTTTCACATCAATAGCTTCGCATAGAAAAATATTTATTTCGTTTTTAACGAAGACTTCTAAAAGACAATCTTCAATTTTTAAATGCTGAAAAAGGAGAGACATAATTGAAGTACCTTTTATTATACGTGTTCCCTCGTGAAAAAGGTGGAAAATATCCATGGCCGTGATCCACATGGGCACCTGCTCATTGAATTTGCTGTATTTACCTCGTTCCTTAAATCTATCGGCCAATGTTTCTGGAATGTTTGTTCCACACTTTTCCCGATCTTCTAAAATATCGAAATCATTAGAAACTGAAGTATAATTGTAATTAATTGTAATAATTGTGCGTATTTTTAAAATTCATGAACCTGTTCATGCAATGACATGTTTAGACACAACTGTTTCAAATTCAGCATGTAAAACAATGCAGATTTAAGGTAGTGTTAAACATTTATTATAAAAACTTGCATTTCATGAATAGGTCCATCACTGAAGTGAAGAAACTATTACAAAAAGCTAAAAAAAAAACGGAAGAAACATCAAAAACATAAATTATTGATTGGAATTTAGAAGATCTTAAAAAGAGACGCCGCAAATTGCGTCAGTGGAAGTCATAAGGGCCTTATTCAAATTTTAAAGTCTCACAATATATTGAGATACTTTACACTTTCTCAAAAGATTTAACTTTCTCAAAAGATTTAATTTACAAATTCCAAATTTTTAAAATTTATTGATTCTCAATAAGTTTTAGAAAGTATCAATAGACTTTAGAATTTCTCAAAATATTTTAGAGTTTATCACTGAATATTTGATTCTCAAAATATTTTATTTGATTTGCCTGAGAATGCAGCTCATCGCCTCGTGCGCCGCAAAAATCTCTCGATTTTCGATTTACAGTACCGCTCAAAAGGTTGGAAACTTTTGGTTTTTTGGGCATAACTTTTTTGAAATCAAACTTTTTTCCACGAACTTTTTTTTCCGATTGTTTCTTACGCAATTTCCGATATAATGAGCTATTAGACATGATTCGTGCTTACCAAATAAGGATTTTAGGCCATTTTTCCAGAAATCCGTAAAAAAACATTTTTTTTGGATATGCAATTTAAGTCGGTTTTTTTACCGGAAAGATAGTTTATCAAGACAAAATCATTGGAAACTAAAATTATAAGGTTAGTACTTGATTGTGAATACTCGGGAGTCAATAACC